AGGCAATGACAGACAAAGAACTCCTATCGGTCGCAAAGACCCACGATCCGCTTTTAGTAAACGCCCACGCTGCAAGTGTTTTTTTGTTACTTGTGAAGCAGATTTGTGACTAGCCTGTGTGACGCTGTACCTCCGTCCGTACCGCTCTCCTGGCCGCAGTTGATGGAGCAGTGAGAAGTAGGTCAACTCCTCCAGCAGTGCGTGGTGAAGCTTCTCTTCCTCGCCTGTCGTGCGTTCACCGCGTGCAAGCTCTTTCTCCCTTTATGATCTTCATCACTCGCACTACTCAAGCCCACTCCTCACGTGTGTCTCATTTCACCTGCGTCACCTCTCTCCATCTGTCAGCGATAAGAATCCGCGAGCCAGCGGATGCGAGCGCTGCGCGCACCTCAAGTATCTCGCGGCGCCGACAATATGGATAGCGTGCCTATGCTTGCCACGCGATCACTCTGACGGGTGCGACGCCGTCACGCGGCATGCTTCCCGCTACCGTGCGCGTAGACTTTGTGTCTGTCGTCGGCGTTGGACAATTCGCCGGCGTTGTCGCCGATGTTGCCGGTGTCGGCGTGGTGATAGATTTCGTGAATTGCAACGTCAACACCGATGAGGCGTGACTCAGGGAAGCCGAACGCAAGCGTCGGCTTCCAACCAGTGACACTGATGAGGTGCAAGTCAAGAATACCAATCGCGTAATAGAATACAGATGACACGCGGGTAACACCCATGAGACGCGAGCCAAGGAAGCCGAGCGCAAGCGTCTTTAACGCGTTCCGCCTCTCGTGTCTTTGTGTTTCAAACAAACGTTTAAACGCTGCACTGAATTTCGCTTCAAAGCTTTTTTTTTCTAGCACCCGTGTCGAAGCCTGACGGGGTCAACGCCGTGGGCACCACTTTTTCGCATCCCAGCATGGTTTCCTTCGGGGAGATAGTCTATATTTCTTGTTTTTTTCAACAACACAATGGAGAAATCTTCGACCGGTACGGTTATGGAGGTCAAAAACAACTCTCTATATACGAGGTTGCCAGTGAATGGTTGTGCAGCACGAGAAGTGAGATTTTTTTTTTAATCAAGGAGCTGCAGACGCTGCCTGCGTCAGCGTTACAGGACGTTCAAATCCCGCCTTTGGCGGCTGCATTTCCGATGGAGGCGGAAATGTTGTAGGCCCGTTTGCTCTGATATGGGTGCACGTTAAAGAACCCCAGGTGGTCGAAATTTCCGGAGCCCTCCTCTACGGCGTCTCTCATAATCGTATGGTGGTTTTGGAACGTTAAACCCCAGATATCTATTGTGACAGGACGAGAGAGAGAAATCGTAGAATAGGAGAGAGAAGGAAAGGGGATGCAATAGCCCAAAAGGGGTGTAAACACTCTTGGTAAAGATGCCTGCATAACTCTGTCTTTCGTTTCTTGTCTCTTTCCGCGCTTTAAATAGCGCTGTGCTCAAGTTGAAACTAGCCCAAATTTTAGTATTTTTAAAAGATGCCGAGAAGAGAAAGAGGAAGGAGCAAGCGTAAGCTAGCAGACGCTGCCTGCATCGGCGTTATCGGGCTCGAGGAGGGGAAAGTGTATGAGTGGGGGAGAGGTACGCATGTACAGTAAGCTGGTCTCACCGCATAAGAAATTGTGCTGAGCGATAAGATGCTTCGCACCTAAAATTATCACAAGAAAAGGTTTTAGACACTATTGCCTAAGTGCACTACTGCAAGCAGCAGAACGACACACATATTAAAAAAAAAAGATGTCTCTGGTGTGAAAACACCGCCTATTATTGCTGAACTAGCTTTCTTGGCGCCATGCCACGTTCCATCGTAACCAACGAAACACAGTGCTTTGAAGTGTGGGATTCACCTTTTCTTATTGTCTCGTTCGCATGAGGGTGCTGACTGATCCCAAGAAAATTCCAAGTTTCGCCGAGCTCGAACCATTCTTCATAGCGCGCCTGTTCGGTACCCAAAGACTGGTAGTTAAGCGCGTCGAACTGATGCATGTGGACCATCATTTATAGACTTTACTTTAGTGTCACAATAACAATGTACACTAGATTTCATTAGAGTGAAGAAAATGACTCTTTCAGGTGCTTTGATATCAGCGCTAGCAATATATTTACGCATCAGCTACTCTAAAGTTACCCATCAGATACCATGTTGAACGGCTTTCCCCAGGCCACGTTGTTGCATGTCTCTGCATGTGGGATCCACGGGTATGTTGGCGAGCACCACCATAGGTCTCAGCAGAGGTCCTCATCAGGGGGGGGGGGGCGAGGTAAGGTTCATCGTAGCTTTCCGCTATACACGTATAGTGTGGGGGCGTTCTGCTTCACTTTCATGGGTAACTAGGGGAGAACCACTCCCTTTACCTCATGACAGTTCATGCGCCCGCCTACAACCGCCGCACGTACCTGGCACTGCAAGATTTAGCCGAGACCACTGCTAATCTATGCATGTGGAAGCCGATGACCAGTAAAACTTCGCAAACAAACGTGAGGAATTATAGGTGCCGTATCGAAGCTCTCGCTTTAAATTACCCAAAAAAGAACAAATTGTCAAGTGGCTCACTTTTTTGTTAGGCAACGTTGAATAATTTCGACAGGAAGTTAGGCCAGAGACCGGTCATATATCCGAAAAAGTGGAAATAACTTGTCTCGGTGGTGGTAAAATCACCATTTCAGTTCGCGAAGATAGCGACATAGAACCGCCCCATAACAACCACAGAAAAATCGATTTCTCTTAAACTTCAATTATTTCAACGCACCTAATCGAAAACAATGTTCTGCTCTGATGAGTATAACAGAATATAAATTGTCCTCTCTAGGAAGGTCAGTAGACGACACAATGGCACGACTACGCACATGCTCCCATTTTCGGCTGTGCTAGCCTCAGTTTCGACGCAATAGCAAGACACGAAAAACGTTAAATTTACAAGTTTCGGGCAACAGCTGACAAACCAAGCACTCCTTGACAGGTTAGATAACATTAGTGCCTGCCAGACGCGAAGTTTTGGGAAAAATGTGAGGCGACTCTGCGTTCAATCTAAGCCAAACATACAATCTGGCCGTGTTGTATTAGCCACGTAGTTTACCTAAATATTGTCGTCGGACCTTTGCAGTGAAATCTCACCTTGTTTTAGTTGCGTATGCAATTCGCGAGCAATGTTGAAGCGCACGAATCCCATATTGTTGTTCGCGGTAAGCAGTGCAGTCTCGCGATTTGCTATTCTATAGCAGAGGAGAGAAAACCGAAGAAAGGAGGACAGGGAGACTAGCCAGTTCTCGAACCGGCTATAACAGAGCTGTCTCAAGTTGGACAGCGCTGCGAGGCTTGTTTTTTGTACGCTTTTTGAATGGTGGTAGCTGCACACTGTAAGCAATTTGTGGGTAGACCGGTTTCAGAGCGAAATTTTTTCCACGCACAGATAGTGTGGTGACGCGAAGATTCCACAGTCATTCGGTGCAAAAAAATTCAGACCTAAAGCGTAATGGGTACCGTGTAAGCCTACGTGTATTAGGAGCTGCAAGAGAGCCCACGACAGTTTTTACACATCGCGCTCTTCCGGCTTTGGCTTGAACTGTGCTGCCTCTTTTACGCAGGATTGGTGAGTTTTCTACAGTGACATATAATCCCAAATAATTATAGTGTTGAATGAATGTGACACTGCTATTACACTGACGTGCATGAAAATGGTTAGTTGAATGGAATGCAAAGAAACTTGCCGGGATTGAATATATATATGAGTAGAAAATACTTCACGTACTATGGATAGCTAACAAAGTGACACCACGATGGCTAGTAAGCATTTTGTCAGCAAGTCAGAATTTATGGTTAATAAACCATTAAAGGCTCGTTCATCTTAGTATTTTTGACTAAAAGTGTAGAAACAACATATTTATGTAAAATGCATTCGGACCACAACTTCATCACCACTGAAAAGCATTGTCCGCCTCGGTGTATCAGTGGCTAGGGTGCTTGGCTGCTGAACGGAACAGCACGGGTTTGATTTGGGCTGCAGCGGTCGCATTTAGATGAAGGCGAAACGGTCAAGACCCGTGTACTGTGCTAAGTCAGCGCACGTTAAACAGCTGAAGGTCAGATTTTCCGGAGCCCTGCACTACGGTGTCTCTCATAATTATATCGTGATTTCGAGACGTAAGACCTCAGATAGAACTATTTTTACTAATAATTAGTATGCTAGGCATATTTCAATAATGATTTTTCTCGTGACATGCATGTACAAATACATAGCTGAAAAAGAAAAAAAATATCAATAGCGTCTGGACAACGCTTCCTTTTCCCACGTGTACGCCGGTATTGATTTTTGTCCTGAGGGAAAACACGTGTTTATAAAATAGAAATATATAGGAATAAAAACTACGAGAACGATACTTGAAAGACAGGGTGTGAATATAATGGACAAAGCTGCACATGCAGCACATGTCAAGATATGTTCAAAGCTACTTGCGCGCAGAGAAAAAGAAAAGAAATTATTGAACAGATTGATATTCGACATGAAACCTATTTTTAATGCAGTAATTTTTTTCCTTTTCTAGTTGGCAGCGATCCTGCCAAGTTTTAGTTCTCTTTCGCTAACCAATTTTTTTTCTTATCGGCATGGACCAGAGAAAACCAGCACACATGTATTCCGAGAGTAGCATGCCGCATATCATATGTTATGTATTGGTGATAAGTTCTGGCGAGTGATTATGACGATTTGAAAAAGAAGAATTCAAAAAATTGACTTTCCTGCTTTTCTTTCTTTTCATTTGATTCCTCTCTAAATATAGCGCAATGTCGTTTTACATCCGCAAACATACCTTTCTCTTATTATCAGTTCACTGATTATGGTAAGCACCACTCACAAAGCGCATATTATGTACAGAACGGGGCATTAGACTGATACCTGAGAAGGTTCTCTGTTGCCGTGCACAAAATAACACTAAATATTTATTTCTGATCTGCGAAACAACGCTAGCAATAGCAAAAACAAGCATCGTACACGGTACTTACTGGCGCAAATAATACTTCTTTTTCCCAATGCAGATGAACTGGTATTTGCCTGGTTGAAAACCTCCAGTAATGCTAGCCGACGTGAGTACGCCTTGCGTCTTTCTCAACGTAGGTTAAGAGAGACTTTCTTACGCAGAACATTACTGCAGCTGATACTTCACTGCCACTTTTGTACAACAAAGTCCACAAATTACGTCTACAGTATGTAAGCAAAAAAAAAACAAATCTTCAGGAATACAACTTTTTGAATTGCATCAATTGTTCTATTGTGTAGATGCTGACGCCGATTTGCCAAACGTACTACTGACGCTTTTATGCTACAAAAAACATAAGCATGAGTTGAGAAGCAACCTGTACTTCCCATTTATATAAATATATATATATATATATATATATATATATATATATATATATATTGGCACGTTCTATTTCCCAAGTTTATGTTATCGTTCCGAAACACCATACGAGCAGCCGTGAACCTGCTCACGGCTGGTTCTTTTTTGACCCATTTTCTTTTCTCTTATTTACATTCGATTTGTTCTAATTAATTCTTCTATACATTCCTTGGCATTATTGTCTGTTAGATCTGACTAATAGTATATATAAATACATATAGATGTGACAGGGTCAGTAAGTAAAGCTAGTCGGGCTAGCTGTGGAACTTTATTCTCTGGAGAGAAAAGGAGGTGAGCGTTTCCTTTGACAAAAAAATATTTTTTCACAAAAACAAAAAAAAACAAACAGCGGAATGCTAATATCAGCAAAACGTAATCTAACAAACACGGGCAGTTCTCGTTGACGACGAAAAACCCTACGAGTCTAAACAGTCTCTCAAGTTCAGAAGCGGCGCACCAGCGGTTCATGCCCTTACACATTCCAGCAGTGAAGCTGCCGTGGTGGGAGTTCATAAGAAAAGGCCCGTATCCCGACGGCTCCCGCTAGAGGACGTCATCTGCGGCGCTGTCTTCAGCTCGAACACCAGACCTAAGCCGTGCCAACTACTAGATAATAGCCTTGGTGGTGGTTGAATAGTCACCAGCACCCCGGTATTGTCGTCACCGGCTAGGTGGATGCCTTGACGCCTCTGTACACGCACCCGATGAGCTCGCATGCCGCACCCTAGCCGCGTTCTTCCAAGCACCAGCACGATTCTTCCTCTTCCTCCTTCTTCGATTCCATGGCTCTGGATTCTCCTGTTTTTTTTTCCGTGACGTGCCCTTTTTTTAAAGGCGTTCACTTCAAAAGCGCACTCCGCTTATCACAGTGACGTATGAAAAAGAAGAAGTGGAGAAGAAAGAAGTGTTTTGGAATAAATATGGCGTATAAGCCAGGCCACGTCCTTCAGTCATCATAGCGTCCCACGAGTCAACAAGATGAAAACCAGGCAGCCCCTTCATCAACCGGCCACCATCATCGAACACCTCAGCAAGACGCAGTGACATAACCTTGGCCACACAAGTGCATCCCAACACCACATCATGACGAGCATTATGACAGCACCATCTACTGACCTTCCCATCCCTAGATAAACCATAGCAGAGCACCATGGACCCGTACAAGAATGGTTCGACCTGTTTTACCTGTTCGAGCTCTGCGCTATCGCTGCGTCTTGGTCGAATCGGGAGCTGGTCACAAACTTCAGCGACTACGTAACTGGTAGGGCATTTAAATTTCACCTCGCCCACATATTTGAAAACCATGAATCATGGCGAAAAATCAAGGAGGAAATGATCGTCCTCTTTGAAGAATGCGTTGACTACGATGAAGGCTCACTTACAACCCGCCATCTGAAAGTAGACAATCTCAGTTGTCACAACCCCCAGCAGTCTTCACAATTCGGAACACCCAAATTTAGCCGGGAATGGTCATTCCCACAAAACGAATCAAAACATCCGTCGACTGAAAGAAATCCAGATATGTTTCCACGAAGGGTTAACCTTCCATCGCGTATTGCTACGGCAGGAAATTTCACCTTTGTGTCAATGCCACACCATAGGACTCGTGTTACGGAACCACCCCGTGCACTGTGCTCCCGGTCACGAACACTTGGTCCACCACTTGGCCTTCCGTCACTTGACGCCTTCGTTGCTCATTTCATCCACCTCAAGCCTAACACACTCACTACGGCCGGAATAGAGCAGAAGAATTTGGAGGGTACTTGACCAAGCCCAGACTCTTCAATACAGATTCATGCATGACACGAGCTCAGCTCTTTAGTTGCGCAGACGGACTGACATTTACAAGTAATATCTGACCAACCCATGTCTGTCACGGTGTTGCTGCCCAGTGTCCATCCAACTGAAGGAAGGAAGGAAATAGAGGGAAAAGAAAGGCAAGGATGTTAACCAGCTTATAGGCAGCCGGGTTGCTACCCTGCGCATGGGAGAGGGATGGGGGAGATGAAAGAGAGCGGAGAGGGAAGATAGAAACAGCACATTCGGCAGCACACGCGCGCACACTCAGTCATAGTCCAGTCTTGTCTTTCGCGGTGTTTGACATTGCTGTTACAGTCGCTTGTTCAAGTCGGTGTCGCGTAGGAATTTCAACAGAGCCTTCGTCGCCTTCTGTTGCAAGGTCTTCTCTCGGGCACTTGACAGAATAGTGTCCACAGACATTTGGCTGTTGTCGATGCGCGCAAAAGCAGACACCAGTGACTGTCTCTGGATTTCATACAATGGACAGTCACACAGAATGTGGTGTAGCGTCTCTTCGCAATGACAGGCATCGCAGAGAGCGTTGTCGGCCATTCCTATGACAAAGGAGTAAGATTTTGTAAATGCCACTCCTAGCCATAAGCGATGAAGAAGGGTGGCTTCTCTTCGGTCGAGTCCAGTGAGCGTGCGGAGAGCCATCAAAGAGGACAGGTGATGTTGACGGTTCGTATCGATGCTTGGTGGGCACCATAGTGAAAACGTGATTTCACGCGCAAGCCAACTGAGAGAGCAAAAAACACAGGCGGCTCACAAGTATCACCTCTAACGCATTGCCGTGAACCAAAAGCGTGCGCTGAGAACGGCGTTGCAAGAGCCTCCGAAAATGTTAGTGTTAATTTCTGCCCACAACCTTGTTTGCCCGACAAGAATGATGAGGCCTCAATGAGTACGCATTATTTACTGGTCACATCAAGTTGGAAAGAAAGGCAGGCTAATGTCACTAAAAGAAAACTACCTTATCAGATTCCGCAACTACACCACTTACATGAACCAGCCCAACGACGAACTAAAATGGGACCAAAAGCACAATTACGGCTCAAGGAAGGTCGTCCGGAACGACACCAACTAAAGGAAGGACAAAGTCAACATCTGAGCTATCTTCGCAGAAAGAAACATCAAGTATGTCTTCTACACCGGATATCCAAATATCGTCGACGATGAGATCAACGGAGTCAACGCCACAGAAAACTACAAAAGCCACTGAACGTTATCATTTGTACAACGCACGAACATGGACATAATTCGTAGAACTTAGTTCTTGTACACGCAGGCTGGAAGCACTGATTCTGTCTCAGCCGCGACATACAACACAGTGCGTACGACAGAGAATTCGGTGCCTACGACATTCAACCTTCAAATGCTGAAAGGACTTGCAACCTTCTTCGTTCTTCGCAGCTGCTCAAGTCGTGTCAGTGCAGTTTTGCAAGACGCTGTTACCTTCTCTACAACCCCACAGCCAGCCTCGACCACCAGAACTCCCCCATTTACTGGACTGCTGCACTTTTTTCTGAAGTTTTTGGAGTTTACGGAACACCCTTAGGCCATGAAACCAATTGTGCATTTTGACATTTCCTTGTTTACTTTTTCTTCTTCGTAACTTACGCTTCTTTCGGTGGGAGGAGGAATCATGTAACATATGAAGCCATGTTAGCAGACGTTGAGAAGGAAGAAATGCTTTGGAATAAATATGGCGTATGAGCCAGCAGGCCACGTCTTCCAGTCATCATAGCGTCACACACACACACACACACACACACACACACACACATATATATATATATATATATATTATAACGAATGCGTTTTTTGAAAGTCGCAGGTTTATTTCCTGCTCACGGAAAGTTATATTTTCACCCACTCTATTTCTTCACATTAACGCAACAATTCGATCTAATAACTTCCCTTACACTTTTCTTGGCGTTATTGTCGTTTAGATCTCAATAATATTGCGGCAAAACACAGACAAATGAGCCCTTAAGCATACATTTCTTTCTCTTATATATAAATATATATATATAAGTTGTAGTGAAGAAGATGAGTGCTACTCAGATAGGCAGGGGGTATCACTCAGTCTGTGAAGAAGACGATGTTTGGTAGGCTGGGTACACAGGCTGGTTCTACTATTACCACTTGACTTGTCGTGACCGTTCTCCTGTTTTATAAAAGAGTGCTGTTCTAAAACGCCTCATTTTAATTGGTGGAAGTGCTGGGTCCACAGCGTGAGTTTTCCCTGCGTGACGACGTCCGCCCCAACAATTATGATTTCCCACCACGACCTGAGCTGTTGTATCTGGCGAGCCTGCCACGATGAACACATTTTCACCTCGCTGGAACTTCAACAGACACCGGTCGCCTTCATTACAACGCCGTTGCCTTTCCCCAATGCTACGTCAACCTCGCCCTGTCCCTGAGGAAAACTAGGACCCGCGATTCCGGGGGCAAGAACTGCGGATCTTTGGAACTCCACAAGACCTTGTTTTTCGCCGTCCAACGTCGTTGCTGTCTCCGTTGAAGGTGTACCTGTTTTTGCATTGGTCGATATTGGCGCCTCAGTGTCTGTTGTGATTGAAAAACTTTGCCGTCGACTAAAAAAAAGTCACAATGCCTCTTCACGACTTTGTTTTGAGCACTGCGAGAGAGCAACGAATTCGCTCTTTTGCTGCATGCACAGCACACGTGTCGCTATGGCTGACGATATTTATGTCGTCGAGTTTGTAGTGCTCCCGCAGGGTTCCCGTGACATTATATTAGGCTGGGACTTTCTCTGCAGTCATCATGCCGTCATCGACTGCGCTCGTGCCGAAGTGGAGTTCACGCCGTTATGCGACGCTGCTTCACTCGACTCGCCCCTTTCACCCGCAAAAGTATTCGTTGCCGCCGGCCCTTCGATGCCCCCGTTCTCATCCGCCCTAGTTCCGCTTTCCTGTGACGTATCTAGTGGCTCAACTGTTCT